TATGTAATTATTGCGTAACATTTCGTAAACCTAGATTAAAAATTTATGGAGATATTGACATTTTTGTTAAAAAACTAGTTTTTTATTTGTCTTACGTTGTTCTGCTTTAACTTTGAAAGTATTCAATAAAATTGAACAAAAGTTTTGGAGCAATTTAAATTTAATTACAAAATGTTTGCTTTAAAAGTTGAGAAAAAAAATCCTTAAAAGCTGTGCAATATATAAGTAATTAAAGCATTTTCTTTGTTCTGCGCTTGTAGGGTAAAAATTTAATGTTTGTTTCACGATTTTGTAGTGAATCGCATTTGGCAACTGATGAAAAAATTCCGATTTCATTATCAGAAAAATTTGAAAAGTTTCAATAAATTTTTTAAGCAATTTTTTTATTTATTTTAAAATAAATTCAAAATGATGAGGGGCTTTCAACAAATATTATTTTGCGTTATAAGAGGAAATTAAATAATAAATGATAATATCTCATGCACATACTCATAATAATTCATACACATATTTATTTATACAATATTTAATTTTTTAAGATATTTATTTGCCAAATACGATTCACTACAAAGTTAAGAAAGAACAATTTTAAATTTAACTACCTTTTAAAACTACTTTTATTAGTCATATCTAGCAAAGTTTTAAACAATTTTTCTGAAACATTTACGCAATAATTTTGTGATTAGTCTTACATTGTGAAATTTTTTTTAAGATTTTATTGTTTGTTTTTTAAAGTTATAGCAAAAAAAGTAAGACAAGAAATATTTTTTTTTAAAACAATCTTATTCCCGTAAATATTTAGGCTAAGTTAACAAACCTTCTTGCAATTATTAGGAATGATGACTAAAAAAACTATTAAAAATTATCGATATTTTGCCAATTTCTTTCATTTCCAATGGCCAAAGTTACATATTGGCCTCTACATCATTATAGGGGAGGAAGAAATGAGAGCATTAAGAAAAGAAAAGCATAACAGGCTTGGCAAAAGAAAGGAAAAAATAAAATAAAATCTATGAACTCAATAAGTCTCTTGCGTAACAACTATTTTTAGCATAGACTACTTGAAAACACTATTTTCGGTTTATAATTTATTGTTGGTTCCTCAAACCTCTAAAAGCTTTAATCTTCATTGATAAGGCCGGGATAGCCGGGTAGGGAGCTGGGCCCATGTCCAAGAGTTCTTGGGTTCGATCCCCGCAGGCCCGTGTAGTAAATGGTGACTGATGACTGATGCACATTAAATCTGTTGAACCGCAAAGTCCTCCATATTCCCATAACAAATCAATAACTCTGGGGATACTGATCCAGGAGTTTCCTTGTCTCCAGGATTGGTTCAAAATTACAAGGCTGCGGAGTTGAACATTAATAGTCGTGAACCCAAATATTTGGTCAGCTGTTTAACGACGGATATAAAATAAAATAAAATCTTCATTGATAGGCATGAAAAATCGCATATACTATACACTATAAAGTGATTCTCTAAGTATTTTTTTGAGAAAGATCACAAAATGTGTTAGTATAGAAGTGTCTCCACTATTTTGTCCAACGCCTGTATATCTATTTGTCGATCTATCTATGTATATATTGATAACACGCTCAGTATTTTCCAAAGAAAAAAAATAATCTTCACCGGTTTACTGAATATAATTTTTTTTAGATGAACTGCGTGACAGAGAAAGTTTTCATCAATAAGTCCACTAGCAAGCATTTCGGTGAGACCTTTTTCATCAGGAAGACTATTAGGCAATTTTAAAGAATTATGTACTAAATCCAATCCATGCATAAGGCTTATATTTAATGCGCAATCAGTAAAACCTTTTCCCACAAAGAATGAAATAATTGTGATTAAAATATCTTAAATGCGATCATGAAAGTTTTTTGCGGAAACTAAACAGACACACGTTACTGAGGTCTATTAATATTTTAATTATGTCCAAAATAATACAGTCCTGCAGTGGACTGATCGTTAAGACACGGTTCCCAGCAGATCACCGAAGTCAAGCATCACTGGCTGCGGTCAGTGTGCGGTTGGGTGACCCACTTGGATCAGTCTGAGTAGGGACCGAGGGTGTGCGTTATTGGTCCTCGTTAAACTGTGCTACCGTAATGTGCTCGACTTCGCGTGCAGGTCGTTGGGCTACCGAAGCGGGGGTGCCATCCCCTCTGCAGAGGATCAAAATTGTGATGGCATGTCTTCGGATCATCCTCAGGGATGCTTCCCAGACCGTCGCCAATAGCCCATTCTGCAGCTCTTGTGCGATGTAAATGAACTACCAACCAACCAACCGACCAAAATGATACAAAAATCGTTTTCAAAGTTGAATGTCTTCTCAATCTATATCTAATTAGAATCATACAGACGTTTTACTTCAGAGGCTCTGTCTTGACTCCCTTTTGCATACAATAAAAATATAACTCAACTTTTTTGTTTATGAAGTTTTGAACAACGGTTCGATATCCACGACAAGCTTCTAAATTTTTATATATATATATATATATATATATATTACGTAAGGACTTATCGTGGTACTAAGTTACAATTAATCACATGATTGAGATTACGTATCCGATAGATTTTTCCTTTATTAAGTACTTTTCCGAAGTTCGTTTCATGGTGTGATTTAGTCCCCTATATACTCTCACATAATTATTATAAATTATTCGTTCGCTTTCTGACTTTAATATGCAGGGTGTCTCAAAAGGTCGTTTACAGACTTAACATGCTGGTCTGTCATGTCATGATGAACAAAATTTACATAGGAACTTGTGTCCGAAAATTAAAACTGCGACCGCTAGAGGGCGATAATTGCACGAAAACGGGAGAGTGGGAAAAACAATCATTTCAGGCGTGGACGTTGAAGGAGAAGGATGAATGAGTTTAGTAACGCAGAAATGGCCGACATGCATTACGTATACGGCGCCGCTGATNCTCTATTTTATGGTTTAATTTTTTATTCTTTTTCTTTTTAAAATTCCTTTTTTTGAATTTTTTATTTTATTCCATTCATTTTTTTAAACTTTTTTTAAATTTATTTTTAATTTTTCTATTTTATTTAATCTTTTATTTACGTATTTATTTTGTGTTTTTCAAAAAAAATTTTATTTCACTTTTCGCTACTTGATTATGATAACTTCTCAGTTATTCAGTCATATTATTATGCAATCTTGAGAGAAACTATACTTGACAATCAGTCAAGATTTTCTATAATTTTTGTTGACCGGAGTTCTTGCTGAGTTGTCAGACAAACAAACCTGTCGGAAAATTGAGCTATCAAGCAAACGGCGTCGTGATGTGTACGTGTACCAAGAGATGTGTATGTGTTACAAAAAAAAATCATTACCATGCTAAATATTATATCAAAAGAGCGGTTTCTCTTTTATGTTCTTTATGTTACTGTTCATAAAATAATACCGTCTAATCTAATAAATGATCAGTTTTCTAATATAATGCGATTTTGTCAAATTTATATCAAAGTATAATGCATTTTTTAGAATGATACGTATCAATAATGGAAAATTTGAAAAATCATTTCACAGGCAGTTAAAAAGAGATCCTCAAGAAGAATTAATTTTCGTATTTGTTAGATGTTCAATATTTTTAATGCATGCATTCATTTATTTCTTGATACTATTTTTCTATTACTTCCCAACTCCCATTATTTTTTTGGCAATCATCTTCATTTCTCGCTTCAAAACATAAATTTCATGAAAAAAAAATTTCTAGTTTTCTATGATAGATAGACGTTAGCCTCCTTACTTTTTGTGCTTTCATATTCAACTTAGAAAATAATTACCTACTGACAATGAAATAAATTTCTCTGAGGAGAACTTTTCGGGTCAAGAATAAATTAGGTTGCATTTATAATTGTTTACAGGTGAGAGCGAAAACTTTACAAATAAAACTCTCAAACTACCTATATCATGATATGACAGACCAGCATGTTAAGTTTGTAAACGACCTTTTGGGACACCCTGTATTGATGAAAAACAAAGAGAGGAACGGCTTTTTTTAAAATAAAGAGCGAAATAAGTAACGCCTATGCCCAAATAAGGTTTAGGAACATGGCTAAGTTCTTCGTGACCGCTTCTGCCCCGCAGTGGTCTGTGATATCGTTTGTGTAAAAATACTTCATTTGCTCGATGAATCTGGTATCGTTTGGACGTTTTGAAATAATCGTAGCTTACCCCAAGCCCTTTTATTTCACTTCTTTGTTTACCCATCTTTAGTATGGCCACTCATCGTTGTTTAGACAGTATCCCAAGATGGCGGATTAGTGGAAGACTCGAGGGGGTCAAATTACAGTTTACCCACCGTAAAAGGGCAACAATGGGATATTTCTGACAGGGAAGTTATACAGGGATGAGATTCTTGCCCCTTATGTGAGACTTTTCGGTAGAGCATATAAACCAAATTTCATCTTTATGGAAGATAACGCCGGTCCACACAGAGGTCAGTTGTAGGACAAATACCTCCAATTGGAATATATTGAAAGATTAGAGTGGCCTTTGACGTCATCTGACTTTAATTCCATCGAACACGTATTGAAAGCCCTTTGACACTGATTTGCAGCTCGAAGACCTTTTCCGACGACTATCAATGAGCTGGAAGGTGTCTTGGTGCAAGATTGGTTGCGGTTGAGACAGGGACTTGACCTTAGCAAGGATCACTGATTAGAACTCTAGTAATATGTAAGAAACATCGATAAGAGAGTTTTACAGCTGGTAGAGGTGACCATACACAATGTTAGGCATGTTTTTCTCTGATTGACAGGGGGTCGGTCAGTTGCAGTTCTGAACAAGTGACCAGGTTCCATATTTAAGGTACAGATTAGGCGGATTTTGGTTCGTATACTGATCTAATATCGAGAGAAAATGTGGTACTCATGACAAAAAATCTATTTTATAAAATTAGTTAATAGAGCAAATTGTTTTATGTGCTATGCATTTTTAGAATATCTGACGCTCTACTGATAAGTATTGACCAACATAAAACAACTTACAATAAACATTAAGAGTGACTTTTTCTTGCACTGAACGTTGGAAAGCATCATTTTTAGCCTCACACGTAAACCGGCTTTCATGATCTGCTGATGAAACAGGAACACTTATTCGACTTCTTGTAGAAGATCCACCATAGACAGTGTCTATGATTTCGGACTTATGAGGATCTTTCAGAATAACCCCATCTTTCCACCACTGAATATATGCAGGTGGATTGCTACTTCCAGACCAACATTCTAACTTTACCTATAATGAAGAAATAATTTAATTAATTCAATTGAAAGTTTTAAAGAAATGTTTTCAATAGGGATGAATGTAATAGAGTGATTTATATTCTGTATCAAGTATATATATTAAGAAAGATTTCTCGAAAAATGCTTTATATGCATAATTGAAGTAATTAAAAGTGGAACGGAGAGCTGACAGTGGAACGGAGGCAGGCGACACAGAATTCTATTAGCCTAGCAGACAAAATTAGAATTTTTACATGAAGTGGCAGATTAATACTGACTTTTCTGCTGCGAGGTATAGATTTATACAATCCTTTGTCACTTGTCATAGCACTTTTCCCTTCAATTGGACAATTTATATGGACTGAATTTTTTTGTTGACTGATTTACACAATTTCAAAGCTATGGGTTAATAAGAACAATGCGATGTAAAACAACTTATAATAACTAGCGTTTAATAATGACAAACTATTTATTAATTACACTACAGCTTCGCTAACTAGCATATTATACAATAATTATTGATAGCTGCTAAAATTATAGTATCTACCACTAAAGAAAAACAACACAAGCTGAGGCTCATGCCATGCGAGGAAATGAATTTGGAAGCTTGGAAACTATAAATTCTATAGTTTAAAGGGGCCAAATCGGCCCACTTATTTTTGAGTAATTTGATATTCAGATCTCTTGAACAATTCCAAATAATCCAAAAATTTTATTAACGCAATAATAAAATACTTTTATCTTAAGATAATTTCATGCTAAATATAACTTTATAAAATGTATATTATTTTCTGTTATCATAGTCCGGATTTTGTTCTTCAAATTTTTTAGCATACAGATTTTTAAATCATTTTTAATTAAGTAATTGACATGACAGAAACAGTAGTTGAGTGAAATGGCTGTATAGTTTCTGATAAAGGAATGATTTCTTTTTAAATAAAAAAGGAACTTCGAAATTTTTATTCCCTGTGCTAATAATTCAAATTTATGTAAATATTTGTATGTCTAAAAAAACTGGTAATAATTAAATTTAAATAAGGAAAACGTAATAAAATTAAAAAATTACCTTTTGAATCTTTGGGTTCAATATTGTTCAGAAATTTTTTAATCTCTGCAACAGTTCCAGATCTACTGCCAAGTCCTCGAAAATTTAAATTACCTGAAGCCAAAAGTTTTGTCCGCTCTTGTATTAAACAATTTACAACATATTTTGAAAATAGTGGTGAGATCCTGTCCTATTTGCCGGGTCAACAATACAAATCTTTCGGGATAAAAATGTTTACTTATTCAAATAAAGTATGTGTTTTTGTCTGATTTAGATTTATGCCAGATCTTAATTTTATTAATATCAACAATTTCAACGCTCCCATCTTTTTTGTTTCAATTTATCCAACAAAATGTAAAGGTAATAAAATATCATATAATATTGACAGACGTACAAACAAAAGTTTTTTTTCGCCTTTTTTAATGAATACAAAAACGAATGTGTGGAACTATACAAACAATGCATATTTTATTAAATGCATATTTTACACGGCTCTGATGAAAATTAAGAATACGGAGGTGAATAAAATACTGAAATGAATCAACAGTAGTACTTACGAGTTCAAAGTTGAAAACTGGTTATTAAGCTTAGAAGTATTTCATTAAAATGAAGCAGATGGCGTAATGATAAGTTTGTAGTATCATCCCGCTACTCAAGTAAGCTAATTTACTAAAATATCCGTAGATTACAAGAAGTTTCCATGTGAAAATAAGAACTAAGTTCAGCGGCAGAGATTCCAGACTAGAAGTTCTTATAAAAATATTTTAACCTTGAATTGCGAATCACCCACAATATTACATTGCAGCAAATATGGAATTATCCTGTAAAATAACCAACATTGCTAATAAAATAGCATTTGTTACTTAAAAGAACTCTGGAAGGGCACAGTCCGTAGAATGAAATCCGGGATTAACAATTCGCCAATAGTTCGTGACCAACGACATGACTCTGGGAATGTGGTCAGTTATAATAGCAGGTTGCTTATACTTTCCACGTAAGCTGGTATCCGTCTATTTGATGTGGGGTGGCACTTTTGATACTTCTTAGAGTTTTAAGGCTTTTACAAATAATTTTAACTTTAAAACTTTCAACTTTCAATGTAAAGATAATTTTATTGCTGCAAATTAGTTTTAAAGCAATAACTTTAGAAATAATGATATCTCAAAGCTGATTCAAATAATTTTTTTCTTCTTTTTTTTTAGTGAGCAACTCAAATTTGAAGTTTTTAAGTAAACAGAGGGTTCGTGACCCAACACTTCTACTTTTTCAATAGCGTATCCTTTAAATTTTATAACTGAAACAATGTTATTCTTCCCAGAAGTTTATAAATCGCAGATTATTTTGATTCTCAGATTATAAGAATTATGACATCTGATATTCAAGTTTTTACAATATTTAGCATCTATCGTAAGCAGATTTCTATATAACGGAGCAACTTCTCTCCAGGAAATTTTGCTTTTTGGAATGAATCTTTAACATGATTATTTATGTGGTTTATATTGCTTCCGCCAGTGGCATATACATTTATTGTGTTACATTTTGTTAGTGTGGTATGCATATTTATTGTGATATTAATATTTTCTTGTAGATTCATTGCATCTTTATAGTGTGACAGGATTAAGCTCTTAATCTACCAAGGTTATGGAGATTTTATCTCCTCATCTACGTGTTAGGAACACTGAGAAATATTTCATATAGCAAACAAAACATTTTTATTTGTAATTACTTACCGTCTCACCTTCTCTTGGCTGTAAGGGATCAACTGATATTGTTACATTTTGGGGAGGGACTGAAAAAAAAAACATTATTAATAGTTAAAAATATGTTAATTAATTTTAAATCTGTTATGCGAATAATAGTACCCATAGATGTGGATTGAGTTTCTAAAAAGTTTCTGTTTCTAAGTTGAATGAATCTAAAAAAGACCTTCCCAGTAACTTTCAATCTCTCTTTTTTATAAAAAAAATTCTATAGAAATACTTTTTCGAATGTTAAAAATTTATTTGGTGATTATTTTAAGTTATTAATTTGTACAGAATCTTCACTGATTGACCTTAGATGGAGAGGTATTAATTTTTAGGATAGACTAATATCAAAGAAATTAAATTTTAGTAAAATTTGATCTGAATACAATATATTATAGACAATTATATCCACAAAAATATTTCCATGAAATAGATTGGTTTTTTTTCGGTACAATAATTATCAAAGTGTTATGATTAATAATCACAAATATTTAAATTGTTGCACTTTTAAACACATTTTTGGATCCACTGACAATTTTCTGAACTTGGCATGATTAAATTATAATAAAAAAGGAAATAATTAAATAAAACATTTTCGAGACATATTTTCACCATGAATACCAAGAATTAGGTTAAAAATAATTTCATAATAATAACTAATTTGACAAACGAAGCATATTTTTTAAAATTTTCTTTCGCATTGACTTTAAGCAAAAATGACAAAAATAATTTTACTTTATTACATTTTAAAAACGAAGATATTTTTAAGTTATTAGAAATACTACAGTTTTTCTATCTTACAAACATTTTGGATTTATAAGATGATGTTCAAATGCCCTTTAGAAAATTATCTTGAGTCTATTGACCAACAAGTATTTCAAAAGAATTTTGAAGTCTCAGTACTCATTTTAAGAATACAAGAAAACATCCCATTATAGTTAGAAAAATATGGAGTTTCAAGATGTTTATCTATTCTTAGGTAAGACTTCAGACATTTCTCCTGAGCTCTCAGACAGACTTTTATTTTCTCTCGATTTAGATAAATTACTTTATCAAAATTTTCTTCTGAACTTCTTAATCCTCTACCAAAAAACTCTTATTTAATTTCGTAATTTTCAGTAATAGCTATTCCACTCAGACAAATATATGTTCTCTTTTGTTTACCTTTAATAAATAGTGATTTTACAATAAAGGTATCATTCCTGATCCCTTTTCATAACAATAAGTCAAAACTTACAAATAAGATATTTTTGTTAAGAATCTTCGTAAGAAATAGGTACTTTATTTGTGTTGGACTAGAGCTACACAATGGGTTATTAGCGACGATCTGGAAAACATTCCTGAAGATGATCCGAAGACACCATAGCAATTTTGATCCTCTGCAGAGTGGATGGCTCCCGTGCTTTTGTAGCCCGACGACCTGCACACGAAACTGAATCTTTGCAAAACTGAAAATATGCGTACTAGGAGTTATTGCAAATTAATATTTTTTGAAGGAAAAAACCAAATTTGGCGGAAATTGAATTAATGTAGTCCCAAGAATATGAAGATGCTAGGTTTACTTGATAATAAAAAAAATCTTTATTAGCTTCAAAAATTATTAAGCTGGAAATAGTCGATTGGTTTCGAGTTTTCAAAAACATGTTTCATCGATGTGTTCAAAAACATGATTCAACACGTGTATTGACTTTTGAAAATGGGCGCCTTGTATAATGAAATAATGGGAACAAGCCAACTTCTTTTTTTGAATGAAGTTTTCCAATTATCAAGTACATTCGAATTCAATATGTCGCTGTTATTCAAAAACTCGAATTGTCAGAATTATACAAGAGTGAAATCTTAGATTTAAATTGGTGGATTTGGTATTGTGTGGATTTTAATTTTGACATCTTCGGTAATCTATGCGTCTTTGCTTTTCTTGCCATTTAAAAAAATTTTAATCATATTTATCGTAACATTGTTCAAATTTGCATTTAACATAAAATGTTGCTTACTTAAACCATGTTTTCGTAATCTGATATAGGGCAAAATTAACCTGCGCCACAGACCACAAGGCAATTTAATTCAAAAATGGTGATTAAAATTTGAGTTGCCAATAAATACCACTTTTTCGTTAAAAACTTATTTAATGTTATCCAAAACTTTTACTTCCAATATAATTTAATACATGCTTTAATCATCCCGGTTACGTCACGCTGATTCAGGAGTACTGAATTTGGTTATCAAAAGTCTTATCCGAGTTAAAATTAATTTCGAATTTTCAATTTATGGTCGATAATATTTAAAAGCTTTCTATTTAATGTAATTTAATCACAACACGAAGTAGAACATTTTAGTAAAATTACCATGATGTGTGGTAAAGGTATTTCTGGTATAAAAAATGATTAAAAAAATTTGTTAATAAAACCAAAATACGAGGTATTAAAGCTATTTATTTAGCATTTATTTGCTCATATGATTACGGTCTTATCGAAAGTTCTGGTTTTCAAAATTAGAGTTCTTATTACCTCACATTTATTAAAAATACAAAACTGAAAGTAGTATAATAATTCTTATGCCATGCTCTAGGATATCAAGATCAACTTAACAAATTTTACCATATTTGCGAAATTGAACACCTATTTAAAACAATATTTTTTTTGCAAATTTTACCTAAATCATTACCCAAGTGATTCGATAAAGATTGCTGCACTTTTTGGTGTTCCCCTGAAGCTGGAAACACGGTAATTTATACTATATTCTGGTAGTTTTGACCATACTTTTTTCACAGTAGATGTCCAGAATTATTTCAGATTTATTTTGTTGCGAATAGATGTTAATAACAAATTCCATGCTGCATTATTAGTTCAAATATTCAAACTTTAAATTTTAGTAGTTGAAAACGTTATAAACCATACTTATTAGACAGTTCGGGCTTCAACAGTTATTTCACCGCAATGTGACCTTATTTCTGTCACTGATGAGAGAATCAGTAAAATGTTAGAAAAACCCATTATCAGAAAAAGTATAAACCGAAGAAGCGTGATCAATATCACAAATAATGATGAAATTGATAAGTGTTTTTATAAAACTAACATATCCAAGTATTTGTAAAAAACCAAATTCTGATTTTCTTCTGCTTGTAAGTTCATTAACTTTAACTTATTTTGGGAAAACTAATTAATGATCATGTTTATACAAAACTAAGAAAAACATCAAAACTATTATAATTTTATGATGGAAATTCAGAGGAGCAAGTAATAGAAAAACATCTTCAAGTTAAACTACATAATAAGCTTATTTAAAAGAGCAAATATTCCAAATCTGCAACTGATTAAATAAAGCGGAACAACAATTTTAAAACTCAAATATAAAGAAACTAGAGATAAGAGAACACTTTGTTACCATTATTCCTGCAGATAATGGTACTTGTTATAGTAACGTGACAAAGGTTTTTCTGTTATGCTAGTTGTAAATAGAATAAGAGCTTTAGGAATACGGGATTTTCTTACTCTCCACACTTTTTTCTCTCTTTCTCTCTCTGGGTGTGTTACCATGGCTTTAACACAGCTTGATTTTTCCCTGCTCCATTATGTTCCCCCTTTTTACTCAAATGGTTTGCCGTGAGGAAAAAAATGTAATATTTTCGGTAACTATGGCAACGGAGAGGGGAAAAGTGTAGAGAGTGGGAAAAAGTGTAACCCCGAGTTGCCCATTCTTTTTCAAAAACGTATAACTGCATTGTTTGTGCCTGCATTCAATCCAACTCTATTTATTTCAAAAAGAAAAAAAAACTTGTTTTGTTTTGATTTTATTTGTAATTGAAAATGAATAATATTTATCATAAAATGTTTTGAAACCATGACTTACACAAAACTGTTAGTTTCACTTCAGCAGCTAAAGGTTCAACAGTGGCACTATTATTCACTTCACAACGCACGCTTATTTCATTGTCGGACGCTTCAATTTCAAATGATATTATGCTTGTAATCCTCCCTTGTACAACAGAACTAACACTTGAAACCTGAAATAAATTAAAATTGTTACACATTGCATTAAACAACAACCCCCTTTAATTTATAAATTTGTTTTTAAACCAGGACCAGGATAGATGAGAAAATCAATGCTCATAAAATAAAGCATTTTCAAACTATGCATAATTTAAAAAAAAAATTAGGTGCTGACCAGTTGCAATCCTCAAATAATAAAATAATTTTCAAAAACAATGAAGCTAGTTATATATTTAAATTTAAAATAAACATAAATGTATTACAAACAACAAAAAATTCAAAAGGTATGAACTATTTCGTCAAACAAAACAGTTATTAGAACATCTTTCAATGAGCATGAGACATCAAGTTTGAAAGTTGCTATTCCATAGTGCTATGCGATTCTAAACTTTTTCAATTATTACTTTATTTATCAAATTTTAAATTCTAAACAGTTGCTGATGATCAAGCATTTTTAAAGACATTATGACTTAACATAAAGTTTGCTCCCATTAATATATCGTAGAATATTTCTCAGGCAAACTTCATTGAAGTTTTTGGTAGCCTTGTGAAGTTTTCTTGGAGATAAATTCTTCAAATTATTGGTACTATTTACATTTTAAACAATCACTACTTACAGGAAGGAAAACAAAATAAATACTTCATAGTATATATTTATTTCAAAAGTATGAAAGGCCTTATTATTCATTCTTAGTTTTTTGAAATTGTAATTTATAAAAAATAAGATTCTCAAGAACCCCCCGAGTGCCTGGCCCTGGTGTGCCATAGGCAATCAGACTGTACTACTCATCTACTACATGTCATACTTCATTTTTAAATATTGTGTAATTTATTCACAGCTAAGTTGGATATGCTTAAAATTATACTCCTGTAGAATTAAAATTTATTTCAATCATATAAAATATATTAAACGTGTAATATCAATGCGTAAATCTTTTGGAAGAAAATAAGTAAACCTTTTAACATTATAAAAAGACTTTAAAAAGGCTGTAAAACTCCTTAGTAAATATTATTTGAACTAACGAAACTTTGAAATTTTCCCAACAATTTAATTATAATTAAAATAGAACACAAAATTCAATAAATTTAAATAAGAAAAAAGAGATATTCTATGCATAAAATGTATTTCACTATTTAATTTCAATTAATTTTAGAAAGGTAATTATAATAATATTTTACTTTCCTGCAACTAACCAGACAGTCGTTTTTTTTATCAAATGTGGCTTAAGTACTTTAATTAGGAAGCAACTCTTAAATATTTAATTGGTAATCTTTCATCCAATTTTCTTAATTTAATTACTATTTCCTCGTTTTCGTAATCCTGTCATTTAAGAAGTTGTAAAACTGTTACTTCAAACTGCAGTTGAACATTCTTAAAGCAATAAAATATTATTTTTTTAAAAATTTTTGATTTTGATTCTTTTTTATCACTACTAAACACGTGTAAAATTGATATTTAAAATAAATTTTAATATTATCATATTGGTTCTAAATCAAATAAGTACGTAAGTATGTACTTGTTTTTAGATTTTTATAAATGTATTACTTTAAGTAGGTGTTTTTACAATTTTATGAATATTAATCTTCAGTTTAAAATTAGGTTAAAATTTTAACGGTTTTTAATTCATTGATGAAAGTCTCAATTGTTCTTTAAGTCTAAAGATGATAAGTCAAAATATAACTTCAAATATTTTTTTTAAAATTAATAATTAGAATTAATTTCATTTAAATAATTTCTAACTGGTATAACACCAGTTTTTTTTTTTAATATCTGTCGGAGGGTTACAAATGTCTAAAGAGCTTGTATAAAGATATAAAAATGTATATATAATATGAAGAAAAAAGAAAAATGCCATACGGAGAAAAAAATCTGGTAAAATTAAAATACTAAATGTAAAGGAAATTTCTGTTTCAAAAGAGAATCTGATGTAAAAACCAAAATATGCGGTATGTAAATCATTTGTTTGTAATTTTTCCGTTCCAGTTTTCGGAATTACTGTTCTCATTACCAAATATATAATAAAAAAAAATGCAAAACAGGAAAATGAATTTAACCAAACAAATGGTTCTTATACCATGCTCCAAAGTGTGATAAATCTACTAAATATTATCACATTTACCAAATTTTATCAGATATTATAAAACCATATTTTATAGTTAACTTTAGAAAAATTACCAAACAGCTTCGGTAATATTTACCGATATTTTTAATGTGCCATCATATCTAGAAAAACAATACATTTTGCCATATCCAGGTAGTATTCAACATACTTTTTCTCAAGGAGGGGAAAATTTTCTAGAACATAGTCCATAAATATTTAAGATAAACCAACTGCATTACGAGATTCTTACATTTTTCTTTTCTACTCTTACGCCGGAGAGAATATCTCTCTTAAAAACCTTACGCACACAAGCATATCTCTCTTTCTTCCTCTGTATATATATATATATNTACATATATATATATATATATATATGTGTGCACCAGATTACAACAAAAATGTGACAGTCAACACGTGTGACCTCTGCGACGTCGATGCGTGGGTCCGCCGTTGAGGACGTCACATTTTGACGTCTCCTAGACTTAAACATGGGACCACGGTGTGACATATAACTGTCGCAGTAACGTCTCCATGTAACAAGTATTTGACATATTCACGTCTCAACTTAGTCAAACGGTGACCCTATTGAAATGTAAATGTCTCAATTTCGTCACATCATGACTATGTTGAGACGTGAAAGTCACATCCTTGTCATATGGTGACCCCATCGAGACGTGAATATGCCACATCTTCGTCACAGGGGGATTCTGTTGAGATGTAAAAATATCGCATCTTTGACACATGGTGATCTTGACGAGACGTAAATGGTTGGGATACATAAATGGAGGAAAACAGATCCAAATCTCAGCAATGTTGTGATAGAAGATTCTAGTCTCAAATATATGCCATATTATAAAAAAAAATTTCTATTTGCGGCGTTGACCACAAACAGAGAAGAAAAAAACAGCACTTGCCCCATATATTTTTGCTAGATAAGGGTAAATGCTGGATTCGAAAGAAAGTTGAAGGGTCAGATAGTATAGAAAGAGAGGACAACAAGTTCATCCGAACCATGATTTTGGAGGTCATAATCGGTATTTATTTACAAATTTAATTTTACATTTAACAATAAAAACCTGGGTAGCATTAAATTTAGTACAAAATATGCATTAAAAATTATATTTAAAGTTAATTCTATTAATATTATTAAACCATATTAGTATTTAAATTGCACCTTCGCAATTTTGATGCATGAACTATTTCCGGGTTTTCTATATTATTTATTATGATGAATGTCCCTTTCTTTTTTAATTATTTTATTTAATTAACATAAATATTTTTTCAAGAATATTCCTTGTTTACATTTAGTTAACTCTTTTTCCTAAAGTCCCGTAGTGCTCTGATTTTAAAGACACGGTTCCCAGTAGAACACCGAAGTCAAGCGTCACTGGCTGCGGTCAATAAGCGGGTGGATGACCACTTTGATAAGCCTCCGTAAGGATCGTTCCTCGTTAAACTGTTCCACCGTAAAGTGCTCGACTTCGAACTCAGGTCCTCGGGTTACCAAATCAGGGGAGCCATCCCCTCTGCAGAGGATCAAAAGTGTGATAGCGTGCCTTCGGTTCATCTTAAGGGATACTTCCCAGACCATCGCCAATAGCAGATTGTACAGATCTAGTGCGACGAAAATAAAGTACTTACCTACCTACTTTTTACCAGATCAGTTTTATTAAATTTGAAATTTTATTAAATTATTAAATTAATAAATATTACTTGATTGCCCACATTTAGTGTACTATTTTCTTTGCATCACTTTATTTATTTTTTACTTTTCATACTTGTCATGTCAATAGCAAAATATTTTTAAAAATTCCTTAAGTTGGTCAATTTTTCTTTGTGTTTATCTATTTTTTTCTGCACCATCTTAGATTTGCTTAATTCTGTTAGCATGACTCTGACAGCATCTCATCTGCACCTCAACGTGGTACGAAGAGGAACACCTTTCGGTGGACAACGCAGGTGGTAGACTGCCGACAGCGATTGTCTTGCTGCTTCAAAAAGGTTAATTGTTAGATAGAACCTTTTCTTTGAGAAAGCGATATTTCTTTTGGAGCTCCTTATGAGTAGCGAGGAGAAAATAGATTCTATTCCGGAGGATTTTAACAACTCTTTTGAGGAGTCACAAAAGGAATGGACCAAAGCAGTGGCGGCACTTAATAAGCAATTTAGCAGATTTACAGACCTGAGTATAGGGAAAAAATATGAGTGCTGCAAGTGTCACTGAACTGACTAAAATAGCTTTAAAGTACCTTACCTAGATATTGTCTCTAGGCAGAACGAAGTCTTAGCATATACAAAGGGATTTCAGGCTGAATCAAATGATCAACAAAAGAGCTAAGAAAACGACTAAAACTTATGCTGAAATTACAAAGAGTACTCTACAAACGGGGGATCCCAAAGTTATGCCGGAACACGTTCTTGTCATGAGACCAAAAGCAGATTGCACGTCTGAAGAGACTGAACAGTCCATTATAGCTCATGCTAATCCATCAGAGCTCCAAATTGGAGTTAAGGGACTTAAGGTAACAATTGGAGGAATCGTGATCAAAGTGGAGACCAAAAAAGACATATATATATATATATATATATTCTAGAAAAAGTCAAAGTCAAACCACCCGGTTTTACCTCACTAGAGGGGGTAAAACCCAGTGGTTTGAGTTTTCTGTAGAGTTAACGTGTGTACTAGAGGAAAACAAATGTTAACTCTGTAGCAAATTTAGATATACTAGAATTTCAGTAATAAACGTAGCAGCATTTCTATTTTAAAAGCCAAATTAAGAAAATTATGCATGTAATTTACATGTGTTGTCAGTGCCGTACTCGAGGGAGGGGAAGCGAAAGAGAGGAACAATTGTCCAGAGGCCTGAGACGGCTGTTCAGAGACTGGTGTTTTTATTTATTTATTTATTAAA